TGCAGAAATCTATCATTCGTTCTCCAGCATCATTTCTATCACCAAGTCCAAATTTTCCAACTACTGGTCCCTCCTCTTTGCTCCCTACTTTTGCAATCTAGTACTTAGCAGAGACTTAATCAATTTTTGTAAAGAAATTAAACACATAACACAAAACAGTGAAGACTGGCAAGCCTGAACGGCCTGAAGCTGAGGAGTGTTTCAGTACAGCTTCTTACCACACCTGTGGTCCCCGGCTGGAGGTGCAGCCCTGACTAGACACAAGAAACCCTGGGAGTTGTAGTTCACCAGGTGGACGGAGACCAGACTGCGCCAAGCATCCTAGAAATTGTAGTGCCGGCAAGAGGCACTCTGCGCAGGCGCAAACCGACGGCCATTTCCGGGCTCAAGGTTGCATTTTACAGTAAAGGGAGAAAGTCTTGGGGAGGCTTCCTAGATTAATAATGGCAACCTACAGCCTGGCGAACGAGCGGCTACGCGCCCTGGAAGACATCGAGCGGGAAATCGGCGCCATCCTTCAAAACGCAGGTTCGGGATCCGACGAACGAACGGCAAGAATGAGGGAGCGAGAAGGAGGCTGAGCGACTTGCACATGCGCCAACCGAAGACTAGGAAAAGGGTGGGGAGGGATTCTGAGTGCAAGCGCGGTGAAAGTTTGTAGGGATGCTTGGGTGGAAGGGACTGGCCTTGGGGAGGGGCTATTCTCTCGGAACCGCGTTAGCATAGCTTTCCTCCTCCGGCTAGGTAATGTGATCCTGGAACTGTCCAAGGAAAAAACCAATGAGCGGCTCCTAGACCGGCAGGCGGCGGCCTTCACGGCTTCGGTCCAACATGTGGAGGCGGAACTGTCCGCCCAAATCCGCTACCTCACCCAGGTAGGTATGTGGTGGGAGAAGTTGTGAGACTGAGGTGGAACTTTGGCCTCAAGACCTAGTAGGGCTGGATGACACTGCAGCATCCCTCCTTTTCAGGGCCAGTTTCTTCCTTTAAAAGGAGCTGATCGAAGGCGATCTTTCACTAGATTGCAGCTTATGAGTCACCAATGGGGAAGCGCCTAAGAGGGGGCGTGCAAAAGCTGCCGAAGCCAAAAATGCCTACGTCCTGAGTAAAGATCAGGATTGAGAGGGTTCTGAAGTGATTACAACAGCTACCACCATTTACTAAATTCCTCAAGGTGTACCAGCCATAGCATTTGTCTTACTTAATCTTAAACTCTTTGTTGTTCTGGGGAGTTGTCATGGAGTCTCCAGTGCAGAGAATTGCTGTGTAATTTCCAAAGCTATGACCTATCAGAAGCAGATCACCAGGGATGGCTTCCAAGGAGCTCTGGGTATACCAGCCTTTCAGACATTCACCTAGGGAATCTACCACAACTCTGTTGTTGTTAAGTGTCGAGTCGATTTTGGACTCCTATCAACCCCATGTGACAGAGTTAACCGCCCCATAGGGTTTTCTAGGCTGTAATCTTTACTGGAGTCCTGGTGTGGCGCTGTAGGATAAGCAGTGAACTGTTAACCACAAGGTCAGCTGTTCAAGCCCGCCTATCCAGGGTTGCTATGAGTCAGAACTGACTTGACGGACAGTGGGCTTGACTGTAGCAGATCCCCAGGTCTTTGTCCCACAGAGCCAATGGTTAGATTTGAACTACCACCCTTTCAGGTTCACAGCTCAGCACTTAACCTTTGTGTCACCAGGGCTTTTTGTATAACTGAAGGAAGTAATTCTTACTACCCACATTTTACAGATAATGTTAATAGAAGTTAAGTGATTTGCCCTGTGGCACCCAGCTGTCATGTGGCCTAAGTGGGATTCAAACTCGGAGAAAATGAGAAAAGAGATCTAATGCCTGGCGGGTGGGTAAGGAGATGGGTAGGGAGAGGGTGCCCTATTGCTAAAAGTCTGTCTATCCTGTAGGTGGCCACAGGACAGCCTCACGAGGGCTCTAGCTACTCTTCAAGGAAGGACTGTCAGATGGCCCTGAAGCGAGTGGACTATGCCCGCCTTAAGCTCAATGATGTGGCCCACACCTGTGAGCAGATGCTGGAAAACTAGGCCAAGAAGGTGTAGCAAAAGCTTGGAGAGGAGACCACCAGCTACATTCAGGACAGAACCTGGAAACCTGAAGAGATGGGGAACACAGACTGCTGCATCTGCCCTGCTGATAAGTGTATGCCAGGACCAAGGAGCAAAAAAGCCCAGTCACCGCATTGCTCCGGCTCCTCCAGCAGGGAGCTCTTGTGCTGTACTTCCCCAAACTGCCACCAACACCAGCAGATGGAGTTTCAGACACCCAGCCCACTTCCTCAGAACCTTCATGTCCCTGCCCCAGGCTTCCCGCAGACTTGTGGCCCAGTGAAGTCACATCCTTTGTCTTTGGGAAAAACAAAAGAAGAACTAAGGGTTTTAATAATAAAAGTAACAAAAACAAGATCAGACTCTCTTTGAGGGCATATATGGAATTGTGGAAGTGAAACTAGAGTCTGGTGTCAGCAGCAGGAATGTGGGAAAGCCCAGACCTTTGCTGTCAGCATCGGGAGAGGAGAGGGGAGATGACTCCTACTGAGGAAGAATAGCTGATGTACTGTAAGGAGAGGTTTGGAACAAGCGGAAACTATCAACAGAGAAGCCAAAGCCAGGACTCATGATAGAAGGACAAGGGCCTGAGGCCAGTGTCTACAGAAGAGCTAATAATTACAAAAAATAATCTTTAGTAGTTAGCGTACATAGAATTTGTCTAATGTTACACTGTGAAAGGGGGATTTAATATAACACTTAATAAAAACAGGAGTGGGGGCTAAGAAGGCAGTAGTAGGTTATTCGTTAAACATTAACAAATATGCATACAGTGTACTAAATTGTTGATGTGCACTAAATAAATATACTATATACACTACAGTACAGTCTGCCTTCACAGAGCTTCCTTGTTTTTCAAACTTTACTATGAATTGTGAACTGAGGGACGACATATAGAGGAAGATTCCAGTAAGAGCAGATCATCACTTTTACATTCAACAAATCATCTACATTTGTTTCATCTCAATGATTACGATCCCCTTCATGTCATCCCACTACCTCCCTATGGTTCTTATTTCCATTCTACCTTCCTTCCCAACGCTTCTGAACTTTGTCCTTACATAAATGCTGACTCTTTGATCTTGAATGATTGACCAATTCATGATGTTGTCTCCCTATATACACCTGTCTACTGGCTTGGCTGAAAATTGGTTCACAAAGGTGAGTTTGTTCCAGTCTTGAAGGGTGGCTGAGGGTCATAGTCTCAGGTTCTGCCAGTCTCTTTCAGACTAGTAAGTTCAGTCTTTTTTGATAAATTTGAGTTTTGTTCCACATTTTCTCCCACACTATTTGGAACCTTCTAATGTAATCCCTTTCAGAGTATTTGGTAATGGTAGCTGTGCACCATCGAGTTCTTCTGGTCTCATTGATAGAGACTACTGTTCATATGTTCCATTAGTCCACTGGACTAGTTAATTCCGAACACCTTCAATTTCCATCACTCTTCTTTCTCCCACACATGGAGAGACCAATAGTTGCATTACCCTACTATCTTGTTAGTAATAAAATGTAGGGAAAAATAAAATAGAGGGTCATGCCGATAGTCCTATGGACCCTTCCAATTCTAATGTAATCCTTTCAGAGCAGTTGATAGTGGTAGCTGAGCACAATGATTCCATTTTGTGTGTGTATGTTTAAAGTTTTTATTGTGAATCGAGTGATAGTTTACATGGGAGAGCATTGGTTTTACACTCATCGTTTCAATGCAATTACTATAATCTCTGTGCATCATCATTCAACTATTTGTTTCTATTCCCTCTGGGTTTTTGTTGTTGTTGTTTGAAGTACACAAAAACACTCAGGAATATATAATCATTTAAACAACCAAAGGGTGCATTCTGCAAGCCTGCCTCCTGGCTGTCAGCACACAGCCTTTCTCTTTTCATGAGTCTGCAGTCAGTTGCTCTATCTCGCCATGTCCACATTTCTGCCTCCATCTCTGATGTCGCTGCTTCTTTGTATAGGGTCCCACATTCCACTTGTGCTCATCTCTCTTGGTGGTCCTAGGGTCCTCTATTCCTAGACTGTAAGAATAACTACTCCCTCCCACCCCTCTTTATTACAAAACTGTTACCTTGACAGTTGCAATTGGTCATGATAATAATTACTCACTATGGAATCATAAGAATCTTACCCCATCTCCTTTCACTAGACCTGTCTAGACAAGATGAAAACTATTCAGTGGGAATTCTACCTTCTTCTGCACACTCTGAAACTAAACTCCCTCTTGAAAACTTGTAATTATGTCAGTCACTTCGTGCCTTTATAACCCCCCATTTTAGGTAGCCAATGCCTAAGTTGCCCGTCCCTATCAACCTTGTATAAAGAGGGGATAGGATACTTGATAGGAAATCTGGTAGCGTAGTGGTTACAAATAGGGCTGCGAACCGCAAGGTCAGCAGTTTGAAACTACCAGCTGCTCTGCAGGAGAAAGATGAGACATTCTGCTCCCGTAAAGATTAACAGCTTCAGAAGCCCTGTGTAGGGTCGCTATGAGTCAGAACCGACTCCACAGCACATAACAGGATATTTGATGTGAAGACTTCTTCCCTCTCAGTTGGTATTTTGAGCTACTACATAAGTATAGGTCAAGTTCATCAAATTGCAGCAATTTACACTTAATTTGTTTTATCCAAAAAAAAAATTTTTTTTTTAATCTTCTTCTAGTAAAGTTCTGACCATCAAGCTAAGATGGGAGAGTCAGTCTTGTGGAAGTCAGGTTCAGGCATTGAGTCTGGTGCGGCGTTTTGTAATAAAGCTGCAATTGTAGAAGTGATAAAGAAGTTGAAAAATGACCTCAGGTCAAAGGGACTTGGAAGTTGGGGAAGCAGTAGTGTGACTTGGAGAATCAGATACCAAAGATCCCACCATAATCTGGTACACAGTAAACCAAAAGGCAATTGACATGCAATTGATTTTAACGCATAATGAGCTTACAGGACAGATCAAAACTTCCTCAGAGGGTTTCTAAGACTGTAAATCTTCACAGAAGCAGTCTGCCGTATCTTTCTCCTGTGTTGAGGCTGGTGGGTTTGAACCTTTCAATTAGCAGCCAAGCACTTAATCAGTGCATAACCAGGAATCTTTCTGGTACACAGTACCCCCACTGCCAATGTGTCAATTCTGACTCAGAGCAACCCTACAGGACAAAGTTGAACTCCTAAGGCCTTCTGAGACTAAATCTTTACAGAAGCAGCCTCATCTTTCTCCTGCCGAGCGGCTGATGGTCACAATGAGTCGGAACTGACTCCATGGTACTTTAACAACAACTATAATGTAGTTTATTTCTTATTCACATTTCACAAATATCTCTACCTCAAAGAATTCCACTGACTTTATAATTTCCCCAGAAATGTGAAAGTCACATAGAACCGAAACTGTGCCTTATAACTTTAAATATTTTTAAAAATATATAAATTACTGGCAGAGCCACCAAATTAAATGAATGAATTACACTAAAAACGAGATTTCCTTTCAAGGATAACAGAACATTCTTTAATATTCAACAAAACTATAGGAATTTGCTGTTGGTTTTCTGGGTCAGGGTGGTATATCTTGTTTAGATGTACGGTTATTGAAAGTTCAGTCATATAAAAGAAATCTTTAGAGAACAGAGGTTTTTTTTTTTTCCTTTACATATTTATTCCCAGAGCCGGTCCTTCATCTCTCATTTTGGCTTTCCACATTGATTCAATTGTAGTACTTCCTGGAGAGAGCTAGGTTCTAATCAGCAACATCGGGGAAAAGAATTAGACAAAGCAAAATGAGAAAATGTAGATCTTCTCGTGTCTCCTTGAAAGCAGTTAATATATTCTAAGTTATGAAGCAATATATTTCACAATTGAACTTTAAATAAGTTTTATCTGTAGTGGACATGAACAGGAAATGTGGCGTGAATCTTTCAGCCATTTCTATAGAGATGAATACCATATACCAGAATTTTACTTTGTTTCCCATCCCATATAGTTGTCCCGACCCCAAAGTCTCACTTGGGGGCTCTTCAGTAGCTATACTTGGACAATGACCACCAAAATCATGAGTCAGAGACACAATCTAGAAACACTAAATGACCTAACCTGACTACCTGTTAAGAATCCCTTTTATTATTGTTGAAAAGCTATAAAAGCAACCATACAAATTCTCAAAGATAATGGCTTAAACGCCCAAGTGAAATGTTTGCAATCCTCTTTCGATTGCCAAAATGAAGGAGTCCATCCTTTCAAGAGAACTCGGATTGAGTCATTTCTCTAAAACCTGCTCAGTCTGCCTAGTAGTCTTGCTTGTGGTTAGCAGCGCAACACTTAACCTGTTGTACCACTGAGGCTCCTTCATTACACAACAGATGCTGGAAAAGATTTGTGAATTGAATGAACGACCCCATCTTCCTCCACAGCTTCATCTCCCACTAGCCTGTTCTAGCTGTCAGCTTCTCCTAGAAACTGCTCCAAGCACTGGTCCCTAGGCACAAAATGGCTTCTTTCCCCCTCCATTCTATGGTTTCTGGCTTATTCATCCTTCAAGACCTAAGGTCCACGGTGCAGATGGCTTTAAAACTTGTCTGCCTGGGTCAAGTCTTCCAGCCACCTGGGAATTACTAAGGCCGGACCCCTGACAGGGAGGTTCTAGGTTCCTTGGGGAAGAGTTCAGAGATGCAATTTACCTGAGAAGTGTGGCCTTGACTGCTTCCTCTTCTTCTGCAGCACATAAAGGAGGACTGCAGTAAGAATGAAGACGATGGCCAGGAGAGACAGCACTGGCACTATGGCTGACGTCCCAGCTGGAGGATCCACACTGCTTTCCAGCTGCTTCTGGTTCTCCCCAGCCTCAGGCCCAGCCCCCAGATTGTGATCTGTAGTGGGAGTGACAGTTTCACTGGAGTAGCTGAGGCCTCTGTCCAAGGCAAGTGCTGTTGCTGGAAAGGTGGGCTGTTGGGTGGACTGTAGAGTGGATGGCAGGTCCGTCTGGGCAGGGGTACCTATGTTTGAAGATGCCTGCTCTGTGAGCTCAGAAGCCTGAGTGTTGGGCAGAGGTAAATGCTTCTGGTGGGCCTGACTCCTCATGATGCCACATTCTGGAGAGGTAAAAGGGAAAGAATTAGAGATACCAGAGGACAAGGTGAAGAAGCAACTAGAAGGAAGGGTAATGGGTCAGGGAGGGCATCAGAGGGGAAGGAGAAGAGTGAAAGAGAGAAAGATGAGGGACAAAGTCAGCAAACCACTGGAAAGCCATAGAACAGAATAAACAGGAACCAAGAACAAGTGTGCCTTCTGAACTAGGAAGTCAGGAGAGCTGAGTTTGAACCCTGACTCTGTTACAAAGCATCTGTATGACCTTGTGCTTGTCTCTTCACCGCTCCAGAACTCATTGCTTTCAGCTGTAAAGTGAGGATAATTTTAGTACTAAGGGCTAGGGTTGCTGGGGGTGGATGGGGGTGGGAGGGGGGACATGGAGAGGGGGTGTTAAATGAGGTAAGATAGTTCTGTGTAGTCCAAAGGAAGTCTGGTGGTATAATGGGTTAAACACTGGCT